AAGTAATTCCACGTTCTCCAGGTTCACTGACACGTTTTATGCCAGATGATATTCCTGGTGTTACTTCTCCAATGGTTTATATTGGGATGTTATTTAGCTGGTTTGCCTGGCATGTCGAAGACCATGAGCTTCATAGCTTGAATTTTCTTCATACTGGCTCTTCAAAGACTTGGTATGCTGTCCCAGCAGATTATGCATTAGCTTTTGAGGAAGCTATCCGCACTGAGGCTTATGGTGGTAATATTGACCACTTAGGTATTGCCTCCTTTTGAGAATAGTTGGTTTTTGTTTTTTGTAATTTTTGTATTGGTTTTTTAACACAGCTCTAGTTTGTTACTGCCAGCTGCTCTCTCATTACTGGGGGAAAAGACAACTCTTCTTTCTCCTGAGCTAGTTATTGCATCTGGCATTCCTTGTTGTAGGTGCGTTTTTCTTATTCCTTTCAGTCAGTTGCATACCATCAGCCTGTCTCTTGTTCTGTTAAGGGTTTTAAAATGCACAGCTATGCCAAAAGTTATTGCCCCATGCAGAATAGAATGCAAGGCATTTGCTTGTTGTACTGATTTTCTATGTTGAAGTTCTACTCATGTCTATTTTGGTTTTTTAGGTTAGTACAGAATGCTGGTGAATTTGTTGTGACTTTCCCAAGGGCATACCATGTAGGATTCAGCCACGGTAATTGCTTACATTTTCGTTATACTTTTTACCTTCTGCTAGAATTTTTAGGATAATATGGTTGTTGTAACTCCTAACAGCCAATTAGTATGCATAGTCACTGCATTTTTATCAATGACTAAATCAGAACCTGGAAATTGTACAAAAGTTTGGGTGAATGTCTCTTTATTTTCCCATTAAAATAAGTCACTTTTGTTCCCCCCTTCCTTCCTCTTGTTCTTAATTTTCCATTAAGAATCTTATTTTGTTCCAAACTAGGTTTCAATTGTGGGGAAGCTGCAAATTTTGGAACTCCACGGTGGCTTCAAGTAGCTAAAGAAGCTGCAGTACGGAGAGCTGCTATGAACCATCTCCCTATGCTTTCTCATCAGCAGCTGCTATATGTGTTGACTATGTCTTTTATTTCGAGGTTAGACTATGCCTTTTTTTCATACTCCTTTGAGTGTATAACTCTCTAAAGGTATCCAGTTTCCTATATCTTTTGCCTCATTATTGTCATTTTTCTACCTTACTGTTTTCATGTCAATGGACTGGAGCATTGTCAACTGTTACAAATTAAATTCAGAGATGTGATGTCTGGCATGTTTATATCACTAACTATTTCCCTTATGACTTTCTGGTCAGAAATACTTAGGATTAAGTTGATTGAATTCTTTTGCTAGTATAATTCATCATAGTATATCTCTGCATAAGTTCCTTCCATCTCGTTTGTCTGTTTTAGAAGTAGTTGTTTGATAGTTTCTCACATTTGGTTCTCTGGATTGGTTCCAGAGTGCCAAGATCTTTGCTACCAGGTGCTCGAAATTCTCGTCTAAAAGATCGCCAGAAAGAAGAAAGGGAGTTGTTAGTGAAAAAGGCTTTTATAGAAGATATGTTAAATGAAAACATCTTGTTATCTGTTCTTCTTGGAAGAGGATCAACCTGCCGAGCAGTAATTTGGGACCCTGATTTACTGCCTTATCTTAGAAAAGACTCTGAATATCCCAGTGGAAACCCTGCTGTTTCTACCCTAGAGCAAGAAGATGTTTCCAATTTTCATTCAGAAAATAGTAATCAGAATAACCTTTTAGATGAGATGAGCTTATACATGGAAAGTCTGAATGATTTATGTTTATATGATGATGATTTATCATGTGACTTCCAACTTGATTCGGGGACGCTGGCATGTGTGGCTTGTGGGATTCTTGGTTATCCATTTATGTCTGTGGTACAACCATCTGAGAGAGCATCAATGGAACTTCAATCTGGAGATTATCTTTCTCTTGAAGGACCAATATTATCAGAAGCTAACACTTCTCATTCCCACCCAGACGTTGCTTGCACCTTTGAGGGCCTTGTTTCAGGTATTGGACTGCCTTGAATTGTCAGATATTTGACGCTAGTTCCTTAATATTTCACATTGTCGCCCTTTTATTGTCATATAGGTATCTAGGATTTTATTTGTGTGACTTCAAATGATGTCAGCACAGACATGTTGTGTTATCCCTTCATTGTACTTATATGGTTCTATATTTGATCAGAACCCCGAATCTGTTGACCATGTGTCTTGCTGCATTTATATGAATGCAAATAACCATTCTTTATTTTGATTGATATTATATGAATTGAGTTTATGAGTGAGAGTGGATAGTTCAGTTTATGCTAAATTGCTAATTAATTCTTTCCTGGAAGAAATGAAAAGGTGCTTCACCTCTTTTTTGTACGTTTCATGTATTGGGTAGAATAAATCTTTTGCCATTTTCTGCAGATTCTCTACCTACAAAGGATGATACCTTACCAACAGTAACCAGGCTGCATGAAGGATGGAATACTTCCCAGAAATATCTGAGACCTCGAATTTTCTGCCTGGAGCATGCTGTTCAAATTGAAGAGCTAATGCAATCTAAAGGCAGAGTAAATATTATGGTAATTTGCCATTCAGGTGAGATATGCTTTAGATCTGTCTGTATCATAATGCAGTAATCAATTAGTTCACCAGGTAGTAATTTTAACCAGAAAGGCTGCCACAAGTCTTTTGAATGATTTCAAAAATTATTAAAGTTTCTGTGTTTAAGGTGGCAGTTAATTCATATTCCTTATATGTAATCTATGGTACTTTTAGCAGTCTGTTTTGCAACCAATAATTGAGAATATGCTCAGGATATCATACATCACCCATTATATTCCTAATTTCCTATAATTGGCAGTCAATTTTCTTATAATCTGCTTGATCTTCTGTAGATTATCCAAAAATCAAGGCCCATGCTGCTGCAGTTGCGGAGGAAATTGGTAGCACTTTCAATTACAATGATATTCCATTAGATACTGCATTGGAGGAAGATCTAAACTTGATCAGTATTGCAATCAATGATGAAGAACATGCTGAATGTGGTGAAGACTGGACATCAACACTTGGTATTAACTTGCGATACTGCATCAAGGTCAGAAAGAACTCCCCATGTAAGCAAATTCAACACGCTCTGCCATTGGGTGGGTTGTTCTCTGAGAGAAGTTGCAGTTCAGATTTGTCACACATCAAATGGAAGTCCAGAAGATCTCGTTCAAAAGCTAAATTAGATCATCCATCCCGCTCTAAACATTGCAATAGTGTTGAATTGAAAGAGTATGTAGCATCAGCAGACAAGGTGGATTGCAACATCATTAAGAAAGAACAGAAAATTATCCAGTATTCAAGGCGGAAGAAATCAAAACCTGATTGTTCTACTGGAGCAGGTGAGGACCTTGGCTGCTCTAAGAAAGACCTTGCAAGGGAAGATACAGCTGCTAAATGTGAATTTTCTGACAAGCAAGGTAGAATACTTAAAGTCACCAGCCCAGTGAACAGAACTTCTACTTCACACTTTGTAGATTCACCTGCTACGGCCAACTTAATTGCAGGAAATTTAGAGAGGAGTGGAAATCAAATATTAGAGGCAAATGCTTCTAATTTGGCAGCCTGCAATAGTTCTGAACAGGAGCTTGAAATCAAGGTCACTGACAGAACCAGTGAAAAACATGAACTTCCTTTTGGTTATAAATTTTCTACTTCATACACCATTGCAGCTAAGAAAGGACTTCTGGAGACTGTTAGAATTTCTTGCGAGGCTGGTAATAAAGTTTCGGAAGGACAGTGTGAAGGCCTGCCTAGTAGGAACATGCTGGCAGACAAGGTTTATTGTCCTTCTAACTCAGTAGCATTACTTGTTTCTTCCTCATCTGCAGCAAGAGCTGATGCACAATTGGAGGATGTGGAGAATTCTTGTGTGAATGGTGGGGTTTATGATGTTATCACTTCTGACACTGAATTGCAGCAAGAAATAAAAGCTACAATTCAAGGTAACAGCAGAGAGAACATTTCATGTGACAATAAGCCTTTAGATAAGCTTAATTCTTCTCCTAAATGTGAGAGTAGTGAAGATTTAACCAAGATCTATTCTGCTAATGATTTATCCAATGATTTGTCTTTGGAAGATAAAGTACAGGAAACAAGCAGGACTGCAACTGGAATCAAGATGGAACCAGTTCTGAGTTCTGTCACACCGATGAACTGCACTGATTCTGTTTTGATGGGAAAATCTCTCAATGTTCGAAAGGAGGCCCATGCTGTGGCTGATTCATTCAGTGGTCTGACTTCAGAGAACAAAGTAACACCACAAGAAATCCAGACGACAGATGCAAGTAAGCATGAAACACACTCAAGTTCTGTTGCACAAACGGCAGTTGATCAGCCCCTTACTCTTTCATTGGAAGAATTTTACACAGCTCCAAATAGAATCTGTGCTGAAGAACTACATATGCATGAGGCTTTGAGCATTGAAGTTCAGCAAGAAATTCGGGATGCAAAAAGAACCATTATGGATGAAGTTGTCTCTGGTTCATACATGCAACTTAAACAAAAGCAACCCTCTCCGAGATTAGCAGAGGCATCCTCTGAAGTCCTAATGGAGACATGTGCTAGAGAAATGTTGTCTGCTGATCCAACCAGTAACAATGACAGATGTGAAAAGGATTTGCCTGCAGAAGAAATCAATGAAGAACAATCTGTTTCTAGCCGTGTTACACCAATAAATAAGCCAGCTCCTAACCCAATCCAAAAGTATTCTAGAATTCGCAAGGAGAAATGTGCTACTGAGAACATGCATAAGGGCAGTGAAGCTTCTTCATCACCAGACGGTAGAGAAAATGGGAACATTGAGCCTGCTGTGGAAGATGGCATATTAGGTGCTTCAAATGAAAGAAAAAGGAAGAGAGAAGTGGAGGAAAAAGGAGAAAAGATGTTCAGCAACAATGGCTTTATTAGGAGTCCATGTGAAGGATTAAGGGCAAGGGCTAGGAAAAATGCAGCTGCTGTGGTTGATGATAGTGACACAATGCAGAGGAAGCCAACTACAAGGGAGGCCAGGGAACCTTGTCGGAGAAAGAAAACAAATGCAAAAACAGTTCGCAAAGAGTCTTATAGTTGTGACATAGAAAACTGCCGTTTGAGTTTTGAAACAAAGGAAGAGCTGAGGTTCCACAAACGCAACCGGTGCCCACATGAAGGCTGTGGAAAGAAGTTTCGCTCCCACAAATATGCAGTCCTTCATCAACGTGTTCATGAGGATGATAGGCCTCTCAAATGCCCGTGGAAGGGTTGTTCGATGTCATTCAAATGGGCATGGGCTAGGACTGAGCATATACGAGTGCACACTGGAGAGAAACCATACCAGTGCAAGGTTGAAGGCTGCGGCCTCTCTTTCAGGTTTGTATCAGATTTTAGTCGACATAGACGAAAAACAGGCCATTATGTGAACTCATCATCCTGAAAAGCTTATCTTTGTAACCGGGGGAGTAGGGGGTGGGATGTGTTCTGTGTATATCGTCTGGGGCAGGCATGAATGGGACGTGGGGATAAACAGCCCCCAGAATCATGTATAGGGTCGAGTTTTTGGATTAGGTACAGGTTAGAGTTAGACTAATCCCTTTGTAGGCACTGCATTCTCTAATCTTTATGAATGCAGTTATAGTTGAACACGAAGGCCCAGTTCTGAGTTTGTCTTAGATTATTCTTTCAATGTCTTCTGGATGAGTAATAATTTGTGGGGACGAATTTCACAAGAATTGATAATGCATGTTACCCAAGTCATTGATTAATGGGAAACAATATTTCCGCCTACTTTTCGGCCGGTTAATTTTGACCCTCCATCCTTCTTATTTCTGGAGAGGACCATTATTATTATTCCTAAAGACGTTTCTTGTTTCATATGTGGGACTTCTGTGGCCCTTTTGTCTGTAATCTGGATTGTTCTTGTATGATTTTCCCCCACTAATAGGATTGAACAGGATGCCAACTGAGGATGACTGCAGCAAGAAAGAAATCTCGGTCCTTACATTTTTTATTATCCATGAAAAATTCTTCAATAACCAGAAACAGAAATAAGGCGACAACCTATAATCAATAAAAATAAATAAATAAATAAATAAATAAAACAAGAACAAGAAATAAGGCGACAACCCTCCCTATCAATGATCAAAGCTCAAATCTTTTTCACCCAAAACCCTCAAAATAACGAACTTGCATTGGAATGAACTTCATAAATTGAATTATTGATTCAAAGAAACCATCCATAAGCAGTTGCAGTTCTACCAAACAGGGCAATCGAAAAAGGATAAAGCTGCATGAATCTTTATGGAGAAAATAACAGGAAATACAAGTAAACTCTAACCCACATTTCCTTTTCCATCTGCGGATTGGATCTCAAAACGCCTCAAAATCTAAATATTGACATGATCATAAGCCTGAAGAGCCTCACCGGTTAACCTGCAGATCCTCCACTCCTGCAAAATCTTAGCTCCCATCTGCTCATAAAACTTGATAGCATTCACATTCCAGTCCAGCACCACCCACTCCACCCTACCGTACCCCATTTTCACTGCCTGCTTCGCCACAGCCGAAAGCAGCATCTTTCCAAACCCCTTTCTCCTATAACATTCCCTCACGAACAAGTCCTCCACATAAAACCCAGGCTTCGCCAGAAAAGTCGAGTAATTTGGGAAAAACAGCACGAACCCAGCAACCACGATTTCGTTTACAGGATCGGAAATGAAAGCGTTCTTCTCGGGATCAGTGATGGGGAGGTCGAAATTAACGACACGCTCATGAGGAGTGAAAGATGGAGAATAAATTGGGCGAAGTGGGTTGTAAGAAAGCTCAAGGACGAAGATGGTGAAGGACTGGAAAGGAGGTGAGTTGAAGAGGGTGGAGGAGAGAGAGGCCTCGGTGGCCTCGAACAGATCGGTGAGTCGCTCGAAGACCGCCATCTGGCGTATGAGCTTGTGAATGAAGGGGACGTCCGTGGGAGTGGCGAGGCGGATGCGCGTGAAGAGAGGATGTCCTATTGGAGCAGACTCTGGTGGACCCATTGCCGGCTCCGGGGCAGGAGCAGGAGGTGGCGGTGGAGCAGCGGCGGCCATGCCTTTGGTTGAAGAGAAAGTGTTTGATAAAATGCTAAAATGGAGGAGGTTCCAGAGAGGGTCTTCGGTACGTAGTGGGTAACATGCAGTGAACGGACTGATATAATGGAAACTGTGGAATAGCAATTTTTACAAATTAATGGGTTAATGTTAATGTTAATGTTTTATATTATTTTACCTCTCCTATATTTTACTTGTTGAAACTAGTGTTTGTAAAAAGAAGTGCAATTGTTTTATAATTTGGAGTAATTTTGATTGTAAAACAAGAATTGTGTGGTGGGGAGGGATTTTGAATATTAAAAGATTTAATTTTTATTAAATAATTAATATTTTATAATTTGAATCAATTTATATCGTAAAATATTTTTTTTAAAGAAGATTATAGGAAAAACAAT